GTGGCGCATCACGGAAGCTTGATAATTTTCCCAACACTCAGTTCATGTTTCCCATTTTTTCGTTTCTTTATAAAGCAGTACAGTGGCTTAGTACGTTAAAATACTTGACAACCCTCTGCTTCGATGCTTTCGCGTTATCAGAGACATTCTGCTACATTTTCAATTGTCTATACAGTGCCGCCCTGCACACAAAATTGTTAAGAATCTCCGAAACGAGAGAGAGCGAGAGCGAGAGTAAACAAGGGGAATGTGTTGCTAATGAAGATGGCTGAGTTCTATGGATATCCTAGTGGTCTAGACAATAGAATTATTTCCACGCCTCTTTACAGTCACGTGTTACTGTGAGTCAGAAAAATATCACCTCAAAAATAATGTCTTTCTCAAACTATTGCTGCAACTCTACACCTCATTATTTTCTGAAGGTATGATAGCGCTTCTTGCTTGAAAAAGAGATGTTTTGGGAAAAGATGTTTTTAATGGGATCACCTGTGAGTTATTTTCCAACGAGACGCCTAGTTCAGCCGGATCTACCACAGCCGGCCTGAAGACCGCATCTGGAATCTTCTTCAAAGAGCCGCCTCCTCTCCCCTCCATCGACAGTCCCTCTTCCTTGGTGTATGACTGTCTTTGTCGACTCTTCTTCTTCCTCTCCTTCTGATCCGAGATGGTGGACAAATCGAGCTCTTCCAACATCGATGCAGCGGGCCCAATCAACTGGCGTCCGTGGTAGAACCAGGTCACTCGAATGGGCCCGTTGAAAGTAGGATTTGTGCGACAAACAAGACGTCCCTCCAGACCTTCTTCAAGGGGCACACTCACTCGGTGACCCATCATCACTACCTCGTCCGTCTCAGTGCGTGACAGTGAGGTAAATTCGGCGAGCAGTCTAGGACGCATGATGAGATCAACCTTGCCAGGTGTTGGATTAGGTGCTCCCACGACAGTGCCCTTTCTGCTACAGGTGTAGGTACCCTTGTCGTTCTCGGTGAAATCCTGTACCACCAGACGAGATATCTGTGAAAATTACACACTTTGAAACAACTAAATTCAGCTCTATCAGGGTTCTTGGCATCCAACAACTTCGAATTTCCACTGCAACAGTGCCATGTTCCTAAAATCATGTCTGTCACCTACATATGCGCTAAACCTTTCGTAGAATAGAGAAATCGGCAAATATTACTGTTCCAAATATGAAGACAAACTCGTCCCTCCTACTACTCCCATCGCGCATTTAAACATAAAGTAACTTTCATCAGTGGTTGAGCAAACCAGATGAGGAGAGCATTCGTTAGTGCGAACGCATTCTGAGTACTAATGACTTTAGCGCACACCATCATCACCATCGTTGCCATCAAAAGAACGCCGATGACCTCATGATATTGAAAAGAAATGAGTTAATTTTTAGAATGCATCAAAGTGGCGAAAACCGCTCCCACCTTCATAACACTACTGAGGCTCGGAATGCGCCATACAAGTTTGGCGTGAGGGACAACTCAACGTGCTGCTGTGTATGGTGATTGAGTAGCTGTTTGAAGTTCTACTTCACCATGCAGCTCATGTTCCTCTTTCTTGGTGGTTAGACACAAGAAACATGACGACAACCGTTTATTTCTCTTTTATAGCTGTGCCTCATTGACGGCACTCATAGAGACTGAATGTTCCTTTATTGATGTTAAGTAAATGGATTTGAAACTCTCTACCATGCACCTTAAATGGGTCGTTTAAATTCTGACCGCAATTAAGTTTTGACATTTCCATACGGCTGTCTTCACTGCAACATTAAGTCTGCGAATGGACCACTGGTTATGCTCCCACCTCTGATCACTTCCGGCATTGTCTGAGGTATGCGCACAAGTGGACGACTGCCACCATTCAAGCGGCTAGTGTATAATTTTAATGCCTTTTAAGGTACAAATTATTAGCTGCAAAACCTTATCTGTGTCCAAA